AACTCGGTCTCAGGGTAAGGAGTGTATGCTTTCTCTATAGTACTCATCAGCGGTGAGCTCAAAATCATCTACACTAAAGAGTTATAGCAACATCCTTTTCCCCACCTGATCATAAAGAGCGCCACCGCTGTCCACAGAAGACGGCTGTGAATCGCCTTCTTGCTGAAAAAAAATTGGATATTTTCAGGATCTCTGACTGAGTTGTGTCACTCTAATGCAAGGCTATGACAGCTTCTTCAGCAAACAGGTCATCGCGAGACCTGAAAATTAGAATTTCAGTCACTATTAAGATAAACGGTACCTCCTCCGCCTCTTCTTCAACAGCTGGAGCCTCAGTGCTAGGGAATGGTGATTGTGTTGCTGCAACCTTAATGGAGACGTTCTTGCAAGTTGGAATGTATCTAACAATCCGGTAATCGACAGAAACTAAGAAGACTTACTTCTGAACCGGTAGGTCGGCTTTCAACGTAGCTGCCTCCAGCCTGGGATACGCCAGGTTGAGGTTCCATCAAGTCAGTTTCGGAGAAAGTGCTAGTAGGCTCAGTAGCTTCGTTGCCCTCGAAAAGGCCTTCCTCAGAAGAGCCAGCAAAAGGGGTTTCCATAAAGCTTCCTCCAGCTCCAGATTCGGTAGCTGCAGATACCATATAGGCACTTGTTGCAGATGGAATTGGAATTTCAGGCTCCGGGCGTCTACCTCCCGGTTCGGGAGCAGCGACCGGAGGTCCCATGTAAGCATTTCCAGCAGAGGAGCCGGCAGATTGAGGAGCTCCGTAGCCTCCGCCAAAGGAGGGGCCCACAGATGGAACTCCCATGTAGGCACCTCCACCACCACGTCCTGCAGTTTGAGATCCCATGTAGGCACCTCCGCCAGCAGGTCCGACAGCTTGAGGTCCCATGTAAGCACCTCCACCAGCAGGTCCGGCAGCTTGAGGTCCCACGTAGGGGCCTCCACCTCCGGACGGAACAAATCCTCCTCCTTGTGCTGGCCGCATATAGGATGGTTGACCACCAGTGAATGGTGCCCCACCACCGCCACCCCCACCACCTCCATATGCTCCTCCGAACGGAGCACCACCACCACCAAGTTCTGCCCCGCCGTAAGGCCCGCCTCCGCCAGCATAAGGAGCTGGCCCTGGAGCCCTAGATGGAGGTGGAGGTGGCGGTGGAGGCGGCGGAGGAGGAGGAGGAGGAGGCGGTGGTGGCGGTGGTGGTGCTGCTGCAACCGGTGGAGCCACATAAGATGATGGAATGACAACGTAGCTGAAAGTGAAGATTGTAGCAGTTGGATATTCAAGATTTAGTATGGATTCACGATAGACTGCAAATAGTTACACTATACCACCGTAAGCAAGTACTTTTCAGTTATATAACAAGTAAAAGTAAAGAAGGAACATCTGTAACAAAGCCTCCGCAAAAACGCTATCTGCACTGCTCCGTTACCCTCATATTTATCATTCCTCCCTGACTTCTTAATCAGCGCTTGTGGTCTTGCGGTATGATTAAGGAATTATGGTCTACCCAGCTGCGGATGGAGGGGCGTGTCAGGAACCCGCGTTCTTTGGCCAGTTTTTGTTGGAAGTGGGTATGCGAAGGCCAATTGGTAAAAAGAAAATGAATATAAAGGATAATAATACAGTCTTGCCAACTTCGCTCGTTTCGAGCAGACTGGTGGAGAGGGGGTTGGCATCCGCGCCAGACTCCATCGCGCTGCACACGTCCCCCTTCGTGCGCCAGGCGGAAATGTGCGAGCTTTTCCCGTCCACTTTCGGTCATAGTTTTCCTCTTTTTTAATGAAACGTGAATAAAAGAAGCTCAGTGTAGAAGAGTGGTCAGAAGAGCACAGCCGCCCATTTTTGTGGAGACTTGAGCAGCAGCGGACCAAATGGTTTTTTCCCGAAGTTTACGAAAATCAAAGGTGCACCTTATTCTGGACGTTGGAGCTGATTTTGAAATGCTACTTTAGCGGAAATGGGCAGGTTTAAGGTTCCAATAGGCGCCAGAAGAAAACATCTGAGTGGGTCGTAAACAGGGAAGACCTGAAAATCAACCTGCACTGAAACCATTGACGTCTGAACTAGGTGTAAGAAGTTCTCTTGAGCGCTGTACTGCTATAGGGGACTGAGCTGACAAGAAGAGAATGAAGACGACAACGCGGTTCACTTCCGTTGGGTAAAAGAAGGTTTTCCACTCGTCGCGCAGTGATCATCGCCTTGTAGCGGCGGCTCCTAAGGAAATCTCGGTGGAAGCCGAAAATTCGAAATCTCTCTCAGAAGGCTGGAAGGGATATACGACTCCGCTCCCAATAACGATCGAATACTGCCCCCTTTACAACGTCCCTAAAACGAGAAAAATCAACTACCTAAAAAAATTTTTTATTCAGCGCAACCGCCCCCCCCCGCTCCTCCCAGCCCAAATACGACTACCCCTGTTAAGGAAACCCCAACAATGATGTGCTTCGAGTACAAATGATATATACTGCAAAGCATAATCATTGTTCCACCCATGAATCTCACAAAATCCCTTCTTACAGGAAGTTTTCCAAAATTCTCAGATACAAAAGTTGTGGTAATTACCAAGACCAAGCTCTAGCTTGAAAAAACAATTTTTTTCCGCCATTTTTTTCAAAAATGGTCGTTCTGACAATGCAGCAAAAGTATGGTTCCACTGCATATTTTCCCGATGCATCTCATTTTTGTTCGGTGAAACTTTTCATCATTATTTGTTACCTCTGCACCTTTTCTATGCTAATGGGTCAAGTGGAACTTCATTACATGACCTGCGGCAGTTAGCCGCAATAAAAGATCAAAAACTGTTAAATCGTCGAATGGCGCGGGATTCGGGCTGCACATCAGTGCTATGCAGCAATTTTTTTTTTTCAAAGGAACGCTACAAGGATGATTGATGTTGAGAAGAGTCGCTGGACATCCTCCTTCTTCGTCTGACCGATCGGAAATAAGCGCGCGTATCGCATTAGGTAAAGCATCCAAGCTCTGCCAGTGTCGTGTCGGGAATCAAAGTCATCTTTTCGCAGGGAGATGTTCGCAGGAATACCTATTTAGGCGTCCTCTGAAAAATCCTGAGTTAAGCGCCATAGGGGGAATATTAGTTACGTATTGTTTCTAACGAAAATCCATCGCGAAAACCTAATTGCCTTTGCTCGAAAATGTTGCCGAACCGATTGAAGTGAGGAGCTTTCGGCTGCGGTGCCCTACTGCCTGTCTGTATTGCTTTTTTAGTTTTTTTTCTCGCGGTCGTGTTTTCTGATAAGGAAAAAATCCGGCTACGACGGCCAGATGAAAACCGATTCCGCTGGCACGACCTGAGAAAAGACAAGTTTCATTTTTCCAGGCGGAACTTCAGTGGATGTGGTCTCATGGTCTGGCCTGCCGTCGCATCAATGGAACGTCTGAAACTGTGCTCCGTATGAAAAAAGAAATGATTCCTTCCGTCATCTAGAGGTCATGCCACGACGTCTCCTTGCTTTCTGGCTAGAATCAGCAAAGAACGGCCCCGTTTTCAGGCAAAAATAATGCACCAGTTCCTTACAGTCGAAGCACTCGAGCGTGGTTCAGTCGTCACCAAACGGCTCTTCTGCCCTGGCCAACGAGTAGCTCCGACTAGAACACAATTGAGGGTGTGAGGGGGTTCATGGTGCGTATGATCCCTGGAAGTGAGAGTAATCACATGTCCGTCGACTTTAGGAAGTTACCAAGGCAGCGCCCGCGTTCAAATTTAATGAGTATGCGGCTCAGGTAGTAACAGCGAGGTAGCAAGAAGCCTATTAGTGAAGAAAAATCGAAGAGAAAACACGCAAATGCCCCTAGAAGGAGTTTCATACCGAACAACGGTTGTACGTGCTTAAAGACAGCGCCCGCGATGGACTTTGGCAGGTCTCAGGGGTCACATTTTGTTAGAACAGGTGGCCAATGAAGCACTAATCAAAAAAAAGTAGGAAAAAGGTGTGGAAGAGCGTGAAATAAGACCTTACGAAATTTAAGGCATGTGGACGAGTTTCGCATGACGGCTTTCGCTGAGTTCTCGCGCAATAGCAGGGAGGGGGGGGCGTCGCCGGCCTCGGAACTCCAGAAACTTAGCGTTTATCAATGCCAGCAAGCACTGATAACTGTTAACCAGTCGGGGCGGGATTAACAGGGAAGGAGGCGTCAGCTCAGCCTTGTTGACTCTCCGCCCTCGTCAATCAATACATTTCGAGCCGCAAGAGTGGGATATCCGTTATGGTTGCGTACTCCGCGTTCGTTTTCATTGGAGGGTTTTTTCACTTTGGTTGATCGCGGACGCTGCCTTTAAGGCGAAGAGAAGGAGTGATTGCACGAGTTTCCACTTGTTCATATCAGCTGTTTTCCCTTATCACCTCACTCTCACCTCCACGTGGAGAGAAGCAGCAATGGAACAACCGCACCATCAGGCAACCATTAGAAATGAAGTTGGGTGGCGTGTCGCAAGGTTGGGCAGAGTGCCGTCGCTGCTTTGCGGGCGGGCGGACGCCGCTGTTCCGTCGCATTTTTTTTGGGTTGCGGAACATGCACGTCCACCATCCTCATAGGGGGAGCTACTAGATCCAGAGAGGGCGTGAGAACAACAAATGAACGCGGGCGCTGCCTTTAATCATTGGGGCAGTCGGCCGAACCTACTCTAATCGAACATGGGCAACCGTATTTTCCAACTTAATTGGAGAAATAGAGTTCCAGTAGATTACTGGATCAAAATTTACTCATTTTATTGTGCACTTATTGTTGGGATATTCGATTTGTTCGGTGGAACTATACATTTTGCTGCATTGTCAGAACGACCATTTTTGGAAAAAATTGACGGAAAAAGATTTGTTTTTTTTCAAGCTAGAGTTTGGTGTTGGCATGCGAATTGGTATTGGTAGATCATCATTTTTGTATGGGGGTTATTTTGAAAAGCTTCGTATAAGTACAAGGACTTGGAGATTCATGGGTGGAACTCTGATTATGCTTCGCAGAGTTTTGCCATCTCTTGTAACATTGCCCTTTACTCACTGACGTAGAATCTCAAACAAAGTCGGCAGAACGTGGTGCGGGCAGCTCGTTTCTGGTCTAGCGACCTTAAAAATCCACTAGTCGGTCCGCAGCTGCTCAAGTCTCCACAAAATGGGCGGCTGCACCCTTCCGACCTTGTAAACGAGGCTTCTTTCATTGGATTGTTTCATTAAGCTGTACTATGTGTTATTCCTAGGACACACCGCAAACCTTAAAGGCTATTAAAAAGTGAGAGGTGAACGATAAGGCTGAGGATGACAAAGCAACGCATACTTCCTTGCTGCCCAGGCTTTGTGACAGTTGTTCCTTCTTATTTTACGTCGGAAGTGTGTCGAAGCAGCCCTACTTATATTATTAGGGTATCCGGAAAGTTTTGAGAAATTCCAACCAGCTTATGTAACATTTGATAAGAACAATAAGAGATAGGAATGCATGAGGTAAGCTGAGTAGCGTGAGAAGCGCGGGGGACGTATACTCGAAATCCCTGAGATCGGGTAGGCGTGGCTGCATGCTTCGATAACCTGAAAGTGACTATGCTTCCGGTGCAATATTTCTATCTTGAGACAACTGTTGTCGCGTCTCGCTACTGTCCCACGAAAACAAGATGAGCAGTTGTCCGGCAGATTGCAATGTTGTTTTTTTGTTTATTCCACAAGTTAGGCAGTTGCCATGTTCACATGCCACACCTACTCAGGCCTGCAGGGATAAGGATTGAACATGCCAGGCCAAACTTTCATGTGAAGAGATCGACTGGGATCTCCTATGCCGCAAGATGCATTTTCAAGAGTGTCTGCATGCCAGCATCGTGACGGTTTGCCTATTCCCGACGTTGAGGCCGATAGAGGCAAGCAACCAGGGGAAAGGTGAAGCAAAAGGCGTTGGGAGTCGTGAACGATAGTACATTTTTCGGCACTATTTACCCTTTACTGCCCCAGTCATCCGAAATCAGGCCAGTTCCTGTCCGACGGTTTTTTTTTCTCCGTGGGCATATTTTGCTCAAATATTGTCTCCTGGGGTAATTTGACCTCCAGAATACGAATATCACATTCGCTCAGCCCGAAACTTCCTGGCGCCCGCGCCACAGGCGCCAATGATTGGGGTCTTTTGGCGCCGGTGCCCGTGGTGCGGGCGCCAAGAGCTCTCAGGTTGAGCGGATGTGATATTCGTGTTCAGGGGTCAAACTACCCCTGGGAGCAAGTTTTCAGCGAATTTGGTGATTTCGAGTATTTTGGCGCCGGCGCCCGTGGCGCGGGCGCCAGGAGGTTTCGGGTCAAGCGGATGCGATATTCGTGTTCAGCGGGTCAAACTACCCCTGGAGCCAAGTTTTCAGCAAATTCTGCCCACGGAGAAAAAAGTCGGTCAGGAACTGGCCTGATTTCGGATGGCTGGGGCAGTAAAGGGTAAATAGTGCCATTTTTCAGGTAATGTCACCTAATGCCAACAATGGAGAATAATATCAACCAGCATTAGCTTTGATCTATAAACATTTATCTTTCTCATAGCACTTATGATATGACTTTGAGCTCGGGCCTTCGCTTGCCACACTTCTTCGAATTAAAAGTGTGAAATTTTCTCAACTTTCCGGACAACCTAATTGTTGTATTACGGTATGCCCCAAGAGGCCATTTTTTCCAGTGTACATGAAATAAGGCTCAGTTTTAAAAATCCAAAGCTTCAAGGCTCGTTGAATAATGACCGATTTTTGGCGCAAGGGCACTGGGCATTCCTGGAAGCAAAGGTAGTTGAGATGGGATCGTGGCAGCGGCAACGAACGCCGCACCATGACAAGGCAGAGTTTGTGCCGTTAGTGTCCCTTTTAGCCCACGTTCAAAAAATATATATTGTTTGAAAATATATGTTTGCTTTTTGTCGCCTTTTTTCGCTGAATTTGCTTCAGGACACTTTTACGCTCTCCTCCTATATTGGCTGCAGTGCTGATATTATTGGTGTTCTGCTAATGGATGGCACGCGATGTAAGCCCTGTTTTTCTCAACATTTTTTCTTGTTCTTCCGAGAATCCCAGTTTACAGACCCTTCCTGTACTCCCTCAATTTGGATATCGTCGACATACTCCTTGATCGGCGACTCACTAGCTGAAGCAGTAGCTATGTAGCTCCCTGTCGCTCGGCAGAACTTTTGGGGTACTTGACCCCCCCCCCTTCAAATTTCCTCTGGAGATCTAGTACGGCCCTTCAGTCTACCAGTTCATCTCTCGTATTTCCCAACTTTACAAAACTTTCTGAATGTCTTGGTTTCCGTCCGAGACTCTCTGCCATTGCTCCGCCGAAAACTGGGCGCGTTTGCAGCGACTGGTGGAGAAGCATGAAAGCGGCGCGTGAAATGGGATACTACCACACAAAATTTAGCAAATTTTTCACCAAACAAATTTTTCAAGCACTTTTCTCAAAGGCCAATACGACCCACCCCGCTCAATGGGAATCTCCAGATTATAATAATACGACGTGCCAGGCCATCAGCCACCCACTGCTCGTCCTATAACCTCAACTCCGGCCATGTGTTTGAAAATGAGTAAAAAAGGAGGATATTTCAACTTCTCCAGAGAACGTGTGCTGGAAGTTCTAAAGAATAATGGCTACCCAAATTTATGATTTTTGTTTGCCAACAGTTTTCGTCGGATATACCTCAGTAAGAAAGGAATACAGAAACGTCTTGGGTTAACACAGTCACTGGTACCTCTCCCGGTCCCCTCCTCCGACTTACCTTTTAAACCTCCTTGAGTTTAAGATGAATAAAAAAATTACCTTACTCCTCCGCCACCGCCCATACCGCCGTAGCCGCCGTATCCTGGACCAGGAGGACAACATGCGCCAGGCAGTACCGGAGGAGGGGGCGGCGGAGGGCAACAGTTGCTGCCACCGCCGAAACACGCATGAAGAGGTGTTGCATCGATGACAAGGAGAACAACTGCAGGCAACTGCAAGGAATATTTTGGAGTCAAGAGGACTAGTTTCAACGTATTGCACCGCTGACAGTTGAGAAGTACTCTAACGATGGAGTAATACCTAAATTTCCTATCGATAACTTCCGCAAAGAATATTATTGGGGAGACACTCTTTCCCGCGAGCGCAGCGATGACCTGACATTATGTGGTCGATCATCACACAAAGACACCGGACAGGACGCAGCAGTACCGCGGCTAAGGCTACGTTCATACTTTGCGGCAGCGTCCACCAGCAACCATCAGCGTTTTCAGCGTCCGCTTGGCGTCAGTGACTAGGAAGTATACATATCGATCTGGCACCTACCAGCGTCTACAAGCGTCCACCAGTGAACAGCAGCGTCTCCAGGGCTAGAGAAGTGTAGGTATCGATCTAGCGACCAGCACCGTCTACAAGCCTCGACCGGTTAACAGCAGCGTCTCGAGGGCAAGGGAAGTATAGGTATCGATTTAGCGACCAGCAGCGTCTACAAGCGTCCAACAGCGACCAGATCATCCAGGAGTTCAGAGTAAATAATGATAGGAGGGATGGCAAGGCACCTGGCAATACCGTAGATCAACGCTATACTTCCCTAGCGTTTTCGATACGCTGCCGGTCGCTAGTGGACGCTACTGGTCGCTGCCGCAAAGTATGACCGCAGCCTACGAGATGGTCAATGAATAGTGCTATGTCAGTAGGCTGTAAATGGTATTTAAAGACACATAGTACGCTCATACACATTGAGGGTGTATGAGACTATCAGCCCCCAGATGTCGATGTGTCGTGGTCCCCCCGCCCAAACATGCCCAGGAATGGAGATACAGGGCCGTGAAACACGCTAGTTCTTCCATGCTCCGCCCACTGCCTTTTTACGGCGCAGATTCCCGCCGTTCATAACATCCGTCGTAAGCGCGCCTGTCGCGTGCGGCTCCTTGGCACTTTGCCAAGTCCTTTAATTGCGCTCTCAAATACAAGTAAAACGCAATTTCTTGATGCGGACAACACTGGAGGTGCTGCAAAATAAGAACAGAAGATGATGACGAGGGTCAGAACTTAAAAGCAACTGTGCCACTTCTGCAACATCCCTCGGAGGCCACGTATTTCCACGAAACATTGTAAAACAAAAAAACGGCATACTCGTTAGTTTAATAAAGCAAAAGGCAATTTCCTGATGCGAATAAAATTTTAGGTGTTGCTCATGCTTCAAAATCCATGTACAAGGAGATGAAGATGACACAGGCTAGAAATGAAGCACAACACGACGATGTAAATGTAAACAAAACAAAATGAAAAAAATCAAGGAAAGGCAAATTAGATAAACTGGCCTGTAAATTTCTACGATCCGGCGCCAAAGCCATACAAATACTTAGAACAAACGAGTGGGACGCTTGGGCTGTTTTTATTTTCATATTTTGTGGGAATGCGCGGCCTCTGATGGATACTGCAGATGCAGCCGAGTTGCTCTTGAGTATGACCCTCGTCATCATCTTCTGTTCGCATTTTTTGGCAGCCACGCTCCAGTCTGTTGGGCCCGGGAATTGCGTTTTCCTTGTATTTGAGAGCGCAATTAAAGGACTTGGCAAAGTGCCAAGGAGCCGCACGCGACAGGCGCGCTTACGACGGATGTTATGAACGGCGGGAATCTGCGCCGTAAAAAGGCAGTGGGCGGAGCATGGAAGAATTAGCGTGTTTCACGGCCCTGTATCTCCATTCCTGGGCATGTTTGGGCGGGGGGACGAGATATCAGG